AAAAAAAATTACGAGATTTCTGTATACTCAGGAGTTAGGACAACGATTGTAAAATAAAACTAAATATTATTCATTGATATAATGTTTACGCTGTTTTATATTATTCCTGTAAACAATTGCACCATAATAATCATTATACTATACACAACAGAAATGTTTAATAATTTATGTATTTCAGCTCTTATAAAATTTACAATAAATTTTTTTAAATTTTATTTAAAAAGTTAGATTAAAATGTATTTTAAATTGAATACAATATAAATTCAACAGGTACTATCGTCTGTTCTTTTACTTGGACTGGAATTTTTTTTAAATCGTCGTAATGCTCCCAATTTCTACATTCTCTTTTCATATAAGTTGTATAATGACCAATTGTATTTCTTAACAACTTGGCTGCCATGAGACCCGATTTGGGGTCTCACAAACTTTTACGTGGCTGCCACAAGTTTTTACAGCAAACTTTTCAAAAATTATATGGTACTTTACTTTATTATTTGATATTGAAATTTTACAGTTATTTTAGTGACATAAAATAAAAGAGTTTAGACAGGGTTTTGGATTTTTAGGACGTGAGATCTCATATTGTGTCTCATGGCACTGGGGATTGATTTTTTGATTGTTATGAAAATAACCATCTTACTGAGATTCAATATGAGATCTCAAAAACTTTTTTTTATTTTAACTGAGATTCCATTACAGATCTCAAAAATATTATTTTTATATAGAACCATTTACTATCATAAATGTAAATAAATATAGTTATATAAAATTTGAATTTTCTGTATATACTATATAATTAAGAATTAACCTGATTAGGTATTCATCTAAAAAGATAATTTCGATAATTAATTCGTCGTTTAGATTCATAATAAAAATTTCAAACATAAACTCATAAACATATAGTAAAGAATAACTTAAACACTTTTAGTGATATCAAATATCAACCATCAATCATTATTATGGTTTAAACTTTAAAATCACTATAGACATATTATATACACAACTTTTTGTTTATATATGTCTATGAAAATCACAGAATATGTTAACATTTATCAACCTTATCAAAATAATAATAATATATAAATTCATCGAGGTATAATACCTCGATGAAATAGTATAACGTATGATATTTGCGTAGTAAAAGTATATAGATTAAAAACAACATAACTCCTTCAAAAAAATTATTTTTACATGTGCTAATGATACCGGCGTGTGTTGGTCACACTGTAGAATGTAAATGCACTACAATAAACCCGATAAATTAGATTCCTAAAGAGATATCAATTTTCTAAAAACATATTACCTGAAATCCCAAATAGAATCTCGTGGCAGGGAATTGAAGTTTTGGTGAGACCCCATATAGGATCTCGTGGCAGGCAATTGAAGTTTTCAAAAAAATACGTGGCAGTCAAGTTTTCGGTTGTTGGAAAGCCAAGACTCCTCTTAATTCATATACTGTAGATTTTACTTTAACAATTTGCGGGATGTCACACAGCTTTGATAAATAAATGGTTGCTGCTTCACTACTGTGTAGGCTGGAAACGGCATCTTCACCTATTTAAATATTATACTAGATAGTTAATACAATTTTTCAACATACACGAGAATCAAAAAAAAAAATTAGTTATAAACATTTATTATTCACCTACCCAAAGAAGAATATCTATGAATATATGCATTTTTGAAACGTTATTTGTGATTTTTTTAAGACCACGGCAATCATTATGGCCACAAATTAAAAAGTCATCAACTAAACGCTCATCCAAGAAATTTTGTAATTTTTATAAATTATCATTAACATTAATTTGGAATGGCATAATTTTTCTTTTTATTATGTGATTACAAACTGAACAATCAGCAATTTCAATTGCTGATGGATAATTCTTCATTAAAGCGCCAATGACATGGCCAACAGTAAATTCACATACAACTAATGTAGTACAATATTCCATTTGTCTTTTTTCAACATTTAAATTGTTTAGAAGTAAATCAGCTCTATATGAATATGATTCAGATGATATCCCATTATTCAAAATTTTACAAATAAAGTTTATAAAATCCGATTTTTCAGAAATATCTAACATTTCTGAATATTTTTTACTGTCACAATATGATACCTATATTTATAAAAATAAATTTTTTTATTTAATATAATTTCATTAAACATTTTTTTGGTTAGGTTTGGTATTAGAGTTTTAAATAACTATTATATAAAAATATATTACAGTACATATTATAAAAATATATTCATAAATCAAGTACATTATTGTATATTATTGCTAATTATTATAAATTATAATTCAATGAACATAAAAAATTATACAAGAACATTTTTTAATATTTATGTATTATATATATATAAAATTGTTTACCATAATCAGTGACGCCAATGAGTCAGATGCACAAGTGTTATTGAATATAACTCTCCCTGGAAATGTATTTGTTTTACATCCTTTCAGTTCTTCAAACCTTGATTCATTTTTCAATAATGGTAACGTTTTCTTCATATTTGTGTTTCTTAGGGTCAAATATTTTAAATGTGGATTTGGAGTAAGATAGGAATTGTTTTTCCGCTGTTTTTTATTTTTTCGATTCCATTTTTCTTGAGCTTTATTTTCACAATTCATACTATCTGCTTCCATTAAAGAACAAACTGTACATAAACGCTCATTTTCTGTTCCTAGTTCGTGAGTTGAACACGTTGAAAAGTTATGTACAAGTTTTTTCAATTAGAACATTTATTTACACCAACCTTAGGAGGATTTCCTGAAAATATTAAGGAATAAATATTATAAAATTATTAATCATAAATTTGAATTTTTACCTGAAAATTGTATATTATTTTTAAAATTCATTTTTTTTGACAATTTAATAATTATAGAGATTCTTGTTAATTAACATTTATGAAATTAGACTATAAAATTAATTGATGAATTAATTATTGATCTATAAATTGAGTTATTTTTTACCTGCGCTACATAATGAACATTTCGGTATATACAATATATCCTTAGAATTATAATCAACGAAAGGTTCTTCAAAATCTAGCAATAATTTATGGTGTATGGCATGGTCTTCATTAGCTTCTTTCAAATCTGGAGATGGTATCGGTGTTTTATTTATAGATGCATCTTCATTTATTTTTTCCAATGCGGGGAATGAAATTGATGTTTGATCCAAGTCGTACTCTTCATTTTTTTTTTCAATATTTAGGGGTTACGTCTGCGTTTGGTATTTATCATTTTCTTCGGTAAATTGTTGTGATTTTTGGAGAAGAACTTGCGCGTTAGACGCTCGCAAAATAGAGGCAGTTTTTAATGACATAATATGATTTTCCAGGAATGTTTCTATATTTTTTGGCAAGTCAATATGTTTTAATGTCACAGTCTTAAGTTTTTTAAAGCTTGACTCTACTGCTGCTAAGCTAGATACTTCTTTTCCATAACCGAAAATTGGTATCATAACTCCCGACCAAAGTGGTAATAGTTTTGTGCATTTGATTAAGTGTGGAACTAAATTAGGTAAATATAATGGGTTTATTCCAGTTCCTTCTTTAATCAACATTTTACTTTCATTTTAAATCTCATTCGCCCACGATTGAAAAGGATTTTCAAATAAATCCAATCCTTCATTTTGTCGTTCATATTCATCTTCAATGATTTTTCTCGCATCATCTTCAGATTCTGTTATAGCTATTAATTCATCAAACTGAGTTTTAAAATCAATAAAACCATATGACGTAGCTGAAATTAAATTTTTTTTATGTTTTTCACATGGAGTGTCTTCGCCATGAATATCAAGACCATCAGTTTCATTTGTGAAAACTACAAATAATGATAGTAAAATAGATCGAATTTCTGTAAGAGACTGGCTTTTAATTAGAAATCCCATTGTGCGAAGAATGACTTCCCGAACTCTTCGTACAACAGATTTTAATGGCATCCATTTGCTTATAGTTTTTATAAAATGTGCAATATAAATTCGTACAAAGCATGTGGGAACCCAATAAGATTGTAATGCTACATCTCCATTGAGTAGACTTGCACATGCTCTAATATAATCTTGAAGCGAAGAATACTGTGTAAAACATTTAACAATGGCTGATAAAAGTGCTAAAGATTGATCGCAAACTGTCTGTTTTGGAACAGTTACATCATGATTCAACCAATTTAAAAGCCAATTTGAAATTGCTACGGTTGTATATCTTTCGCTTAACATATTTGTAGCGGTAAAACTATATTTTATTTGTTCGTCATAAACAAGACCTTCATACAGAAATATGGTACTAGTTTTTTCAGAATTCAGTTTTTAAATTATTTATTAATTAATTTATTAATTAATTAATTAATTAATTATTTATTAATTGTGTTGGACCACCTCTAACAAAATTCGAACCAGAAAAATACGTTCGATCTTGGTTATTGAATGGTCGACATTCAGCTGATGATACCGCAAGTCGTAAAAGAAACCAAAAGTGTGATAAGACATATGAATCATTGTGGAAGTTATTGTAAAAAAAATTGTATTGATGCTGTACTTTTTGAGTTATAAATATAAAATTTAAATAAAAATAAGTTTATAAATTATAAGTAGTTCTTTAAACATTTTATATTTATATTTTTATTTTATATAATATATACATACATATTCGTAAGTAAGTAAAAGAAGATAAAAATATATTTAAATTTTTAAAAGGGCTGAAATTTTAAAGTGACTTTCATAAAATAGTAGATAAAACTTATATATTATTAAAAAAGGGTTAGTATTTGAGGAAGAAGAAATTTTAATTTTAGTTGGGTGAAGCCCCCAATTCTATGATATGTACTCAAAAAAAAAGCGTTCCGGTTCAGAAAATTTTCCATTTCGAGCACTGATTTTACCAAAAATGGAACTATCCAAATTGTATTGGAAGTATAGATGGTAAAAATATCAGAGTTCGATGTCCGAAAAATTCTGGTAGTATGTTTTTTAATTACAAACAATACTATTCAATCGTTTTAATGGCTATTGCTGATGCAAATTATAAATTCATAATAGTAGATGTAGGAGGTTATGGAAAAGATAACGATGGCGGTATTTTATGCGCTTCAAATATATATCACTGTCTTGAAAACGAATCGTTAAAAATCCCAAGTGAGAAAAAATTTCCAAACTCAAATGTAAAAGTTCCACATGTTTTTATTGGTGATGAAGCATTTCCACTGCGTAATTATTTTATGCGACCATTTCCTAGATATCAATTACAAGATGCTGATAAGATGTACTACAACTATAGACATGCTAGAGCCAAGATGACTGTTGAATGTGCTTTTGGTATTGCTTCATCAAAGTTTCGTATTCTTTTAAAAGCTATTGAAACAAAAATAGAAAATGCCGATCATATTGTTAGATCAATCTGTGTTCTACACAATATTTTAATTGATTTGGAAAAAATATAATAGATACTGAATATTTGGCTGGTGCTGGAGATTTAAACACAAATATTACAGAAAGGCGTAGAACTTCAAGAGCTAACAATAGGGCAACTCAAACAGCGATAAATATTCGAAATAAATTTGTAAATTTTTTTGTGGAAAATTAAATTTAATTTAAAATTGTGTATGTCGTATAATATATTGTTGTAAGCAAATAAAATAAATATTATATAAAGTTAATAATTTATTTTGTAATTTATTTATTTTATTTTTTATTAAGTATCACTATTTATATAATTATATCAAAACTACCTACTGTATTAGGCATATCTTAAATAAATACTATAGATACTTACTATTTAATTTTAATTTCTTGGCTATGTCATTCCACGATTTATCCGTAGTATATCGATCACGATACTTTTTGTCCCATTTATTCCATAGAACTGAATGTTTCTGAATTTTGGATATTAATAACTCCATTTTTTTAAATAATATTATTTAAATATTATTTAAAAAAATAGTAAATAATTATTGTATATAATTATTTTAGTTTGTGAATGTACTGTTTGTGTAGTGCTGTTACCTACTAAATTACTATATCGGTGGTCTATTACGAAATGACTAGCCATCTGGATATAATAATATATTATAGGAATAATATAATGTAGATTTTATTCCGATTGTCGTATGTTAACGACGGTTAGTGTTTGGGAAAAAACGTCCGTACACCGAACCATCCAATAATAAAATATTATTGTATTATAAATAGTGTATAGAGTGTTAATAATAGTTATAAATAGTCGATTATTTGTAGTACGTAGTCGTCACTCATCAGTCAGTTGTGTTCATTACTAGTAGACACTCAATTTATAATAATATAATATCGTATTTTAGCACTCGATCGACGTTGATTTAATATCAAACGCATTATCGCATACGGCGAAAACAAATTATTTTGTTTTTCAAATTTGCGTCCGATCCGTCCGTTAACGGATTATCGCATTTGCCGCACACTTTGGACAGTTGTATTAATTTATATATATTTGTTTTTATTTCTCGACGGATTATCGCATCGGACGTATTTAACGGACGCCACGTAGGACACGCCGTTAATTGTCAGACCCTCCGGATGCGGTAAGACGAATTTACTCTACACTCTGTTGACCGACGTTAACGATATAAGATTTCATAACATATATATTTATTCGAAATCGTTGGATCAACCCAAATATAGAATGTTAGGCGATATTCTAAAAGATATGCAAGGTGTTCGATTGTTCACGTTCTACGAAAACGACGAGGTTATCACGCCGGAAAAAGCACTGCCAGATTCGGTGTTCGTGTTCCACGACGAAATATGCGAGAGTCAAACTATCGGACGGTCGTATTTCTCGCGCGGTCGACATAATCGAATCGACGTGTGCTACCTGGCACAATCTTACGCCCGCGTGCCGAAACACCTTATCCGGGATAACAGTAATTTCATAGTATTGTTCAAACAGGACGAGATCAATTTGAAACACGTTTACACGGAACACTGTTCGGGCGACATGAAGTATTCGGATTTCAGAGATTTTTCACGAGTCGTTGGGCCCATGGACGGTTCGATTTTATCGTTATAAACAAGGACTGCGAATGAGATAAGGGTCGGTATAGACATGGGTTCGATACGTTTGTCGTTATATAAAACGACGTCTCCAGTGCATTGCAACAGTCAAAGCAATGACTTCCGAAGGTGTACTAATAGCCGAATTAGCCGAGGCAAAGGAGAATATCAGACGTAAATACTCGACGTTGAAACACGGTGAGGCCGATGCTCGTGCCATTGTCGCGCAAACTTTGAAACCTATAATCGATCCGTTGGAAAAAATATCGTCAAACGGTAAGACCGATTACAAGGAGGACGAGGAGCAGAACGTTGAAAACGAGACAGAATTTTCGAATAATCCAATTTCGGTGGATATCGAAAGCTGGTTTCGTTCGCAGGCCAAAGACAGAACGTACGGTCCGAAAAAACTATCGAACGGCACTATCAAGCTGGGCGACAAAGAAATTAAATTCGTCGGGAACACGTTAGTTATCGGGGGCATCACACGCCTTCTTACACCGGGGCTCGTAAGTTTGCTGTTTTCCAAATATCCGTATCGATATACCGCTCAAGAATTGGAAACATATAAATCGATATTGGTTCAGACATCGGCGCACTTGACGTTAGACGGGACAAAGATTAAAACTGGAGGGGATAAATATAAAAATATTATTACCAAATTGTTTACGTCCGGCGGCGGTGGACTGTCTGTGAGGTTACAGAAACATAATTCTCTAGTCTATTGGAACGACCCGAATGAACTTGTCGACCGACTTCGACTTCTATTGGCAACACGGTCCGCGGGCAATACGGGGGTTTCGAACGAGATACTGTCCATTTACGAAGAATTACATGAAGCGGGGGTAATAAGGAGAATTCCCGACGATGTCTAAAAGTGAGATCGTGTACGATTTGCATAAAGCGGCGAGAAAAAATTATACCAGGCGTGCGGTCAACGTGTACGGAAAAAACGATCTGTGGCAAGCCGATCTCGTGGAGATGATACCGTACGCCGGGGAAAACAAAGGTTTCAAGTACATATTGTGCGTCATCGACTGTTTTACGAAATTCGCCTGGGCACTAGCGTAAAAAACGAAAACCGGTACGGAAGTTGCAAAAGCTTTTGCACGGATATTACGCGATCGCTCGCCCCCGAAACTATTGCAGGTGGATAACGGCAAAGAATTTTATAGTAAAACATTTGACACCCTAATGACAAAGTATACAATTAAAAAGTATTCAACGTTCAGTACGACCAAAGCGTGTATCGTGGAACGGTTCAACTGGACTCTGAAGGGGAAAATTTTCCGAGAGTTTACCGCCAGAGGTTCGCACAAATGGGTCAGCATTCTACCCGTGTTGATGCGCATGTACAATAATTCGAAACACAGGACTGTGGGTATGACGCCCACGCAAGTGGACGAAACGCCCGCTTCGATTGTATTGCGTAATCAGCGAGGTGATATCCCGGGGAAAATATCTAGATAGGTAGTAGGTGATAATGTCCGTATAAGTATACGGAAAGGTGTTTTTACCAAAGGATATCTGGCCAACTGGTCCGCGGAAATATTTACTGTCGCCAGAGTAAATAAAACGTCTCCTGTAACGTATGGCCTGAGAGATTATACCGGCACGCCAATTTCGGGCTGTTTTTATTCCGAGGAATTGTCGAAAACCATGTACCTAGACGATTATTTAGTCGAAAAAATTATCCGGAGAAGGGGAAATCGTTTGTTCGTCAAGTGGTTGGGATTCGATGACTCGCACAGTACCTGGATAAAAGCGAGTGATATGCGAGGATAACATCAGTATCGCTATGAACGTGTTTGGCGCAACTACGGATGGCGAGAGGAGAAAAGCCGTGACCAGAATCAAGGAAAACAACGAAATATTCATAACTGACGTGGAAAAAATTCAGAAGCAACAGGAAAGTATCAAAACGCTTTTGGAAAAAGGAATCGACACCCAGGACCAGATAAACAGTATTAGAACATTGTGCGACGGACTTCAATCCCGATTTGCCGATCCTTTCGCGCAGCATCTGATCGAGACCGCGGATCGATCGAAATCGATAAATAACATAATTTTCAAACTATCAAGTCGTGTGAATTCTCTCGAAGCATATATAAAAGATAGAGCATAATACGTAAAACTATTACGATGACCATTGTGGATGTTCAGTGCGTTCTCGGCGTGCATAGTAGATATTTTGTAAAAGAAATGTCCGTAGTGGACACGGAGACGTGGACCAGTCAACATTGAATATTCAAACATACGTCTATTGTTCAAGACGAGAAATCGCAAAGGGCCAACCGATGGCTGAAGCGGTACTTTCATGGATTTTCTCTGGAACACGGAGACGTGGAGTACGGTAAAATCAATCGGATTTTGAACTCGATGAAATTCGACCTATGTACGTGAAAGGATTGCAGAAACAACAGATGTTGCAAGAGTTCGTGCCGCACATCGAGGTCATCAATTTACAAGAACTAGGATGCCCGCGGCTCAACCAAATGCAGTCCGACGACACTTTACCTCGGTATATTTTCCACAAAGATATGAATTCAAAACAATGTACATTCTACAACGTTTACGCATTACGCAAATGGTTTATTAATAACACATAAAACTTGTATGTATTGTACAAATGTTTGTTTATATATTTTTTTTCCACAACTCTGTTCATCATCAATAAAGACGAATCACCAAATATTACTACTGTGTATTATTTATATTATTATTAACCTTTTTTTTTTTTTTTTATATTCATTATGATAAGTCGACTCGTGGACACATTGCACGAGGAAGGTGATCTATATATATATATATAATATAGGCCGATCTAATATATATATATGTATGTACTCCGGGATAAGACGAGTCGAGCTCTGGGTAAAGGAGACAAGGAGAACTATTGTTCTACCTTAGAGGTTACCCATTAAATTAATAAATATATAGAATGAAAAACAGTTTGTATATACGATAAGAAAATATGTTTATTTCGAAAACTCCACATTAAAGGCATGACCTAGTTTCCCTTTATATATCAGCTGTAGATGGTCTTCCACCGGCCACTGATTGTACGATGTGATCTCATCCGGACTCATCTTGATCATCTTGGCAGGAATACATCAATGTGACCAATATCACCATCCTCGAGCGTGTACACAACCGCGGGTCCGAATTTTGTAGCGACCTCCGTAAACTTTACTATATGGTACTTCTCGCCCATGACGAGTTCACTCATGGATACGGTTCTCGTACTGCATTTTTTATTTAGAGCATTCAATAACGAGTCCATGGCCTATTATGAACATGATAAAATTATGAGTATATGAATTTCACACATAAATAATATATTATAATAAATATTAAATATATATAATTATTTATTTATTTATTTATTTATTTATTAATTTACGGAATTAATGTTCCTTATTTAGTACAGTACACAATAATAATTCGGTAAAATAAGATAGCTAACATATACAAGGGGCGATTGCCTAAAATACAGCAGAATTACAGGTACAGTAAATATAAAATAAAATAATTAGGACACAAGTAAAATTACATACAATAAATGTACAAAAATAACACAATTTAAGGTAAACTGAGAAAGGAGGGGTCCTCGTTAGCCAACCGCATCATGCGGTCAATTGGTTTGTTTTTACCGTAATTGGTACAGTGGAGAGGTACAGTAAAAGGAACTCAAGACCTTGTGGCCCGATGTGGAACTTTAAAGTTTACTTGGACGAGCAGTGAAGGGGCATTTAATGAACCATCGATTAACTTTTTTAAAAAGACCAGATTAGCTTTAACGCGCCTATCTGCTAAAGATTTAAGGCTAAGTGCGCGCAATACTGGAGTATAGTCATGAGGAGGATGGACAATTTTTAGCATGTAAGCTGCAGACGACAGAAAGCGCCTTTGTACTCGCTCTAAGTGGCAAGAATCAATTACCATAAATGGGTCCCAGAGCACAGACGCATACTCTAGCATGCTTCGGACTAAAGAGCAATAGACAGTCTTGAGAGATCCAGACAGTTTGAACTCATTCATGGTGCGCATTACGAAGCCAAGCGATTTGAGGGCTCGGCAGCAGATGGAGTCAATGTGAGGGCGGAAGTTCAGGTCGGCAGTGAAAAGAACGCCCAAGTCGCTATTGCTTGTAACTCTATCAATCACTGAACCATTGATAGTGTAAGAATAATCGATTGCCAACCGGCGCCTGGTGAAGGACATAGCTTTGCATTTATTAGTATTAAATTGGAGGCCAAGAGTGCTAAACCATAAGCTAATGGAATCTAATTCATTCTGAAGGGCGAGACAGTCAGCTTCAGATTCGATTTTTCGGAAAAGTTTCAGGTCGTCTTCGAACATAAGGAATCTACAATTAGGAACAGCCTTCGTAATTCCATTTATAAATAACGAAAAAAGCAGGGGAGACAAGTGACCACCTTGGGGAACACCAGATGGAACAGGAACGACAGCAGATTTTGATCCAAGCACTTTAACCCACTGGACACGATCGGACAGGTATGATTTAAACCAGGACAAAATAGGTTCGCCAAAACCGGACTTATAGAGGATGTCAATTAGGATAGCGTGGTCGACACGGTCAAATGCTTTCACAAAATCAGTGAAAATCACGTCTACCTGGGAGCGATTTTCAAATGCCTCAAGGAAAAAATTATTAAACACAATTAGGTTCGAAGTGGAAGAACGTCCAGGTCGGAAACCATATTGTTCGTCGACTAGTACAGAGTCAACCGAGGGCTGAATGGATTGCAGTACTAGGTGTTCGAAAAGCTTGGCAATATGACTTAGAATCGAGATGGGTCGATAATTCGTGACGTTAGATTTGTCACCAGATTTAAACACAGGGGTGACTGAGCTGATTTTAAGCAATGATGGAAAAATTCCATCATCCATTGAACGCCTGAAGAGTAACCATAAAGGAAAACAGAGGACAGATCTGATGTTATACAAAAAGGTCCCAGATAGACCATCAGGGCCAACGGAGTGTACATTTTTTAGTGCAGCTAACTCGTTCTCGACATCTTCGATACCAAAGATGCAGTCAGAAGGTAAAGTATGATACGCAAATGGAATAACAGGTAGGCTACTTGCTGAGGAAGACACATATACTGAGTTAAAGTAAGATGAGAAAAGACTGGAGATGGATTCAGGACCAGTGGCACTTAGATCATTGAGGTGGACAGAGTTGGGAATACCATTGTTAGATCTACGCTTACGTACAAAGTCTCAGAATAAACGAGGATTAACATTGAGCATGTTTTCAGTGTTATCCAAAAATGTTTTATAGCATTTTTTATAATAATACTTATACTGAGCGCGCAGGTTAGAGAACTTATTGTAGTCAACAGGATTACGTGATGCTTTGTATTTAGCGTGCATTTCTTTCTTGGAAAAAACAATGTTCTTTAGATTTTTAGAGAACCAAGATGGAAATTTAGAAGGTTTGAAAACAATTAAGGGTACAAAACTTGTAACACAGTAATGTAATGCATCGTACAATGCACACGTAGCAGAATCAATATCGGTTGTTGTTAAGGTTTCTAACCAGTTAAACGATGATAAGAAGACACTAATACGAGGATAACAGGCTTTACGAAAATTAAAATATTTATGACAACTATCAATAGAAGGTAAGTCATCTACAAAAGTAAGCATAATATCTAAGGCTGGGTGGTAAGGATCACAAGGAACCACCCCAGTAACGGATTTCTCTATATTGATCCGAGAATCATTGGAAAAAACTAGATCAAGGAAATTACCATTAGAGTTGGGTATGAGATTTAGTTGGAAAAAATTATTATATGCGAAAACGTCAGGAACACAGTGGATTGCAGGGCCAGAGGAAGAATAAATTAAGCCAAAATTGTCATTAGACCAGGATAGGTCAGGAAGGTTAAAATCACCAGAGAAAATAAATACGGAACCAGGATTAGCGTTGATAATATATTGAACAGCAGACATAAAGGACTCATATACCGGGATAGGGCTATTAGGAGGAATGTATACGGAACAAACAATATAAGCAGTATTATTTACATAAAATTTAACGAATAAATATTCAACATTGTTAATGAGTGCAGGTAACAAGTTATGGACCACATCGTTACGAATGGCAACGAGAACTCCTCCTCCTCTACTAAAACTACTGGATTGACTACTTCTATCACACCTAAATACAACATAGTTGTGTAAACCTAATTCCGTGTCTTGGAAGCTATTAGTAAGCCACGTTTCAGTTAAACAAATGAAAATATAATTAAACACAGCAACATTACATTTAAAAAGTCTAAGTTTGGTTCTTAGACCTCTACAGTTTTGATAGTAGCCCATGGGTAGCTTCACTCCTTGGCTGATAAGTTTTTCGGGGTGTTTCACAACACCAGATCTGGAAGTGGGTGAAGCGTACGCCACACTAAGAGGAGGACAGGTAGACGAACATGAAGATATCAGTTTTTTGGAGTTGCGTCTTGAATCATCTCAGGAGCAAGACGACCCCAAAAACGTTTGACCATTACACCATCGGGCCAGAATGCAGGATCGAGGACAATATCCAGCTTCTCAGCAGGCAGACGAATATGGAACGAAGAGTATGATGGGTGTCTTGTAACCATTTTGCTGATGGTCACGTCTGAGTAACCATTGAACAATTCAGATTCTAGCAGGGCAGTTGTAACACTTGGATCAAGCCTCGAGACAAAAATATCAACATGCTTACGCACAGGCACTGATAACAGCTTGGAAGATGAGTTCTTTAAAGAACCAACAATGAATTTAGATTTTACAGACGAAGATTGACTGGCAGTCAATAGGTTTGTGGGTTGAGTAGAACGGGGACCCGTAACCGAGTTCGGGTGTACAACAACTGGCAGTTTAATGAGTTGAGTATTTGATTTGGGAATTTGGGCATTAGGTGCCGCATTGAGGTGGTTGAGCTTATCATGTACCTTAGCGTTACTAAGAGCTACGGATTTTAGCTCCACGACCACGGATTGGAGAATATTAGCAATATTTATTGAGTTTCCATGCGAAGGCGATACAGGATCAGAAGAAGAATCTTTTAAAAACTTTGACAAGTCGTCACTCAGCTTCACACCGGCGGGCAGAGTCTGCGCCACTATATAGTCAACGAGCATGCTTTTAGTCCATTTGTTTAACTCGGAAGAAAGAAGATCATTGTTTTGAGTCATTTTGCGTTTTCGACTAACTGGTGAAAACGTGCGGATAAACAAAGGACAAAATAAGGTGCCTTAGCAAAAATAAATAGGCCAAATAATTTGCACCCGGTGTAATAACAAAGATAGGCGGCGACCTTGGCACGTGCCGAATTCGAATTACGAGATAGCCTCCACGGGTCGACGCTGCTTATCGATGTCGATAAGAATTCAACCGTAATTAGGTGATAGTATAAACTTATAATAAATTATTACCTTTCAACAATGCGCACAAATTAATTAAAAATTGACTGAAAGTAAAAAATTAAGAATAAATAACAAACAGACTGACTCGAAAGCGACACCAGTCGAAGCACGCACTTTTCCGGATTTAGTGAACTAATAAACGTAAAAAACGGGTAACTAGTTTCGAAGGAAACTTAAAAACGGGCACAGAGCGTTGATTATAGTCTGACAATATGTATCATATTATATAATATATATTATGTCCGATTAGTTATCTATCAATATTTTATGATAACTCACTGTGTGAAACAAACGTCTGTCTTTCGCGGTGCGGACTGGTGTCGTGATGCTGATGTCGGTGCTGGTGATGATATCGTCGGTACTGGTAGCTGGTGCTGGCAGCGGTAGTATGCTTCAGGGATACGCTGTAGAGTGTGGTAAGCGAGTAGAACACTGTTCACTGAAGACGATTACTGCACACTGTTTTCGAACACATTGAAACCATGGGTATTTAAGCCCGAGAAAATGTGCACCTCTTCTATTTCAGCACGTCGATTTTCACTAGTAATGTCATCAATTCTTTCCATAGTTTACTTAAGTATTGTCTAATAACTTCGACCTCGTCTCATTAAATCAGTCATTAGACGGTACTTAATTTCGTTTGCGAAAACATTAATTATATTTTTATGACAAAAATAATGTAACTCATATTCACATCTACTCGATATATTATAGTGTGTGTGTGTGTATGTGTGTGTGCATGTGGTAAACAACTCATTAGAAACAATATTGACAAGGAAAAAGTGAAATTTATTATTTACATGCAATTTATTTTTAAAGTATTATTACATAAAGTCTATAAAATATAATAAATAATATAAAATACAATATCACTCGCGTAGCGCGTAATGACCGTACGCGCGCGTTCGTACTCGATCATCGCAAACAACACGTTTGTCGTCGAAACGATTAAGAGTTATTTTCATGGTCTTAATCGTTTTAACACAGTGTTTGAACGATCGGATTGATGCATTTTCTCTATACGGTGTGTACGGTGTATACGAAGGAAGTGGTGTCGGGAAAAACGTTACGCCAGCAATGTTGGCGGCGGTGGCGGCGGCGGCATTCCCGTGTATCGTTTCGACGACCGATCGGGCCATCAGACGCGCACGCCGTTTCATCTCCACGTCCTTCTACCCATCGTCGTCGCCGAAATCACCGTCGTCGAAATCATCATCGTCAGTACCGAGCTCCTCGCTTTCGTCACCGACACCAGTGCTCTCGTCCTCAAACAGACAGCGCTTGTGGTCTTCGAACGTCATGTGATTGCGAACCACATGCCCACGAATACCATTGGCCATGAGTTTCTCATCCCCATCGATTTTGTACGCGTAAGATTTCGCGCGGAGTGCAATGAACTCGTACATAGTACGCCCGGCTGTTTCATCCTTGAACAACCCCGGTATTTTCTTACGCGTACCGACGTAGCAGGCATGTGTGACGGGGAGGTTCGAGGTGTCCATCCGTTCGAGGAGCGTGGGGTTGTCCACCAGGTCCTTGTAGAAATCGTCTGTGTTCACTCGATACACCAGGGAATCTGGTTATAAGTCACGTTATACGTTAGATATATGAGTGCGAATAATATTTATTATATCAAAAACTGACCTGTATCCATATACATTAGTCTAATCGAGTCGTTATAATGTCGCCGCATCACATTGTAATGATAGTCGTACATTAACTCCTTGCTTATTTCCAGGACGGCGAATCCTATATAAATAGGTTTGGAGAAATGCACGTCCCTCTTTTGCAATGATACGGCTGCCAGATTCTCATTGTACGAGGTTACGTGTTTGAACGTGGGCCTGTTGATTAGTTTCCGCATTCGACGTGGAAACGAAACCAATTCCATGGAAATACGATTTCGAACGCATTCCATAGTTTTCCCGGCAAATTCGAATAATAATAATAATAATAACATTATGTAGTACGATTAATGATAATGGCGAGATGTCTGAAATATTTACCGAACACCGCATTATTAAGTAGTTTGAAAAAATCACGTTCAAATTCATTGCCAACCTTCTTTCTCATCTCGATATTTAAATTTATATGTTTAGCAAGCCAAAGCTGACTGTCGGAATTCCAACACCCTATGAACCTATAATTTATTGAGTTAATATGTATATAGACAGCACACTTTTCACGTGATTTGATTCCGGTGAAAATATGTATTATATATATATACATATATTACTTTTTCCACTATCAGTCCATTAGCAATGGCTTGCTTTAAATTTCGATAGTGCACAATATATCGTTCTTTTTGCTCCAACGTGGCAAGTAATTTATTAACTTTCGAGCCCGGTGGTATGGCATTCCGAGGTAAGAAGGGCAGATCGTTGTGCGCGTCATGTAGGTTAGGCTGTCTGGGTAAGCGATAATGACCTCGTAGATACGCCCAACGTCGGATTTTTCAGTCGTACCGTCCAGCAACTCCTGGGAGCGATTCAAATCTCCCTCGTACCACTTGAACCCCCCGTAGGGCTTGTATTCTCCCATGGCGTACCCGTACAAGTTGTTACCTGTAACGATTCAAAGTTAGTAATATAAGTAATTGAATAAATGACGTATATTTACAGTCCTGATAGACGAGCCATGACGGAGGCTTCGTGGCATCGTACCTCGGCGTTTTCGGGTTGTTGGCCCGACAGTATCGCTCACTTGCCTGAACCAACCTCCTTCTGATACCTTGTTCCACGAATAACACCATATCGTAATCCGTTGGTAATTCCAGTGAAACGCCCGTATACCTTAGCATAGCGTCGAACGTAAACCCCGGTGCCGTATAATAATATACGGGGGGGTCGAGGTTGACATGCAGAGGTCTCGGAAGTTCTCCATCACGTCGGTCAGAAGTAGAACGTCCACCTTTAGGTAAAGGTCGCTGTAGTCGCCGAGGGTTGCGCAGTTGAAATGGCTCCACACCTCAGTCGCGTGCACGTAGTCCTCATCACTAACGTGCCTCTCGTTCAACACGCTGTAGAACTCACGTTTCGATGGCATGACGGTCTCCTCGAGTCTCGACCATTTGTCGGAATACTCGTACGGAAACACACCCTTT